GAGAAATTTCTCCAGATAGAATTTTCGATCTTTCGTAATTACAAAATCATTTTTCATCCCATTTGTCGAAATAGAAATATTCTGATATAAATGTGCAATTTAATTTTTCTGCTGTACTTCGATTTTTTAAGTATTTAAAACTGAAGTAAATTCTCTATTCTGAATATTTTCTCTGTTGTGACAAAGTGAACATTTGTCAAAATAGAAATATTCTAATGTAAACATAAAACGTTAATTTTTCTGCTCTACCTTGATTTTTGAAATATTCAGAGCTACGACAAAGTGAACATTTGTGAAAATAGTAATATTCTAATATAAATACGAAACGTTAATTGTTCTAGTGTGCTTTAATTTTTTCAAATATTAAAAATTGAAGTAAATATTGTATCGTGAATATTTTTCAGTTTTTCTTGGATTAAGAAATAAGTTTAAAGGATGTTTTGCTTTCTCTATTCAAAATTAATTTAGCAAGAGACAGTGAATTTTTGTATCGAAACTTGACAATAGAAAAAAAATGCAATCACGTCCTTTAGGAGAAACGATAATTCACAGTAATAATTCTACTTTACCTACAAACAGTTTCTACTTTTAATTTCAGTTTTTCGTGTTTCTGGTGGCAAGCAATTGTCGTAGACGTCTGGTTAATGGCAGGGTAGAATGTATACAGTAAACTTCATCGATAAAGATCTGGTTAAACCCAGCCGCCACTGTAATCTTCTACAATTACGAAACGCTGTTCGAGCTGTAATCCCATCTAATTCGAGGAAAATACAGGCCCTCGAATTTAGGAGCATTATACTAAAAACTCCGTGGAAATGTAATTGCATCATTGTCTCTTTTTAAATTAATTATTCTGAAAGTACCTGCGATTTTATCATCAAATCATTTTACATTGCATATTTTTAATGTTAACTTTCAGAAACGACAATATTAATTTTTTCCGATTACCAAATTAGAGAGTAACATTTTTACGATGAATTACGAAAGAAGTTTCTTGATAATCGAAAATTTCTTTTGTTCGTTTCTGAAATTTTAATAATACAGCAGCTGGTTACATTTGTATCTTTTAATTGTTTGCGAAAAAAAGTTATCCAACAGTTCCAATATCGTAATATAAGAATCCTTGGTCCAAGTTCACCGGCACTCCTTATCAATTTTACTCTCACGATGTTTTCAATGACTGTCGTGTAACTATATTTGAACTTCTCTCGGTAGGAGCGGAACTTTTAATTACTTGCAATTTCAATAAAATTCGACTGATATCCTTCGAGTTATGGAAGTTCGAAAATGCTTTTGCAACTTTCAAATCTTACACTGCGTCGAACTTAAGTCACCTTCGAATCTTCCTTTCTACGTAGGTGAACGTGAAAACTATTTGGAAATTTTTAAGTATTTTGTATATTGATCATTTACGAAAAAATTTCATTCAGTTTAACTAAAAATTGGACTTAATTATCAGAGAGAGAGGGAAAAACTTGAAGAGCTAGATTAAATAAAAATATTACAACTTAATATTCCAAACTGATCGAAAATATTAAAATATCAAATAACAAATTTTGCAGTTAATACTTGTCATTTACTACCTAATTTAATTGCCAGTCAAAGTAATCACAATTTAGTACCAAATTTCCTGAGAAAATCATTTTTCCTGAAACTTCTTTTCCTACAAATTTTGGCCCTTTGATTACTAATTTTGAAAAAAAAAAAAAAAAGAAAAAAACGTAAAGTTTGTAATATTTCTACATTGCACGAGAGTGAGAATGCAAATTCCACGAAAAAAATTGTCATTGGCCTGTTAATCTCACGAAAAACACATTCTGAAAAATTCCATGGAACTTTCAAGCAACTTCATCAAATTCTGCTGCGAAAGATTGCAGATATTTAAACCTAGAATCTAACTTAGCAAGCACCTCGAGCTTTCTGTAACCTGTTCCACCATGTTCAGCCTTGACCAGTCCCAAATTGAACACACTGGACCTCGTCCCCAGAGATTTCGTCGAATCCAGCCACCAGTGTAACTCGCCACAATTACAGAGTGCTGTTTAATCCGCGATCCCGTCTAATTCGCCGGTACACTACTCTCTTCCTCGAATTTATAGTCATCGGTACCGGGGAAACGTTTCCACCCTTCGAGCTTTCGAATCGGCGTCTCGTGGTTTTCGTATTTTATCTAAATAGCCCGACCGCTCTAACAGACCACGCAACAGCGGGGTTCTCTTATTTCGATTGTCCAGCCAGCTATTTTCTTCCACTTGCTCTTCCTTTTTCCAATCGATTATGGCGACGCGACGAACCGTGGCCGAGGAACATGAGTCAGAGCAGCTTGACCGCGATCCAACTAATTTTGCTATCGGGGTTTTTAGTCGCGAACAAGAGAGGATCTTCTGGAGATCAGGTGTTAGTGCCCGTGGTTGTGGCGATAAACTTTCGAGCCTTGTAGATGCTTGCACGATGTTGTGCCGTCTAGATGCTGGTTCGAAGGACCACCCAAATGATTGGGACTTGTAAAAACTGTTGCTTCTCCTTGTTCGTGGTGGTGGAACGACTACTCATGTGCCGTCTAGATGCTGGTTCGAAGGACCACCCAAATGATTGGGACTTGTAAAAACTGTTGCTCCTTGGTTCTCCTTGTTCGTGGTGGTGGAACGACTACTCGACGACTCAACTCTCCGACGTCGCGTCTCGGACGTCTGTGAGAGGGACTTTTGTTGGGACACACTGATTGGTTAATCAGCGTGTCTAATATCGTCTTTACCGCCCTTCCAGTGCGCCCTTAGCGCGCTGTCACCTTGGAAGGGTGGGAGACGGTCGCGAGGGGTGGGCGGAAGGTCCCAAAAATCTGGAATTTCCTCCGGGTGACTAATCGGCAAGCGGACCGTTACATACAGATGTGCCTACAGATGTGTGTATGTTCGTAGGCTATTGAGCGCGAGGGACACAAATTACTAAAAATCTAGCAAAACAATTTTAGTGACCCTCGCAGGATGTAATTAGACCCGTGCAAGCAATAAACGAAAATCCTCAACTCAAAAATAACCGTTTCTACAGAAAACCTAAAATCAGGTTACTATTCTTCGTACGATCTTTCGCGGTATTTTTAGCGTTTCAGAGTGTTTGATCTTGAGACTGTTTAACGGTGTTAGATTTGGTAGTTTTGTAAATATGAGAAGAGGAGGAAGAGTTGTTAAAGTTTTATGGACGTCTGGGTTTATTTGTGAATGATAGTAAAGCTAGTAAAGCGATACAGAACGTGATACTTCTTTGGTTTCTCGATTTTTTTTATTTCGTTAGGAAAGTAAAATCAAAAAGTTGGGTGTGAGCGAAGATTCAGTTCTAGTGACTGAATGATAGGCTGAGATGGAGAGATGATTGATATTGAAATTAATTTTAAGGAAAAGGTTTGCTTCAAATTTTTTACTTGCGTTTGGTGGACAGTTTGCGTGGAAATTCTGAGTGATAAATTTAAAGTTGAAACTTTATTTATGTGGATGTATGTACAAGAGTTTATAACGCTAACAATAAGCGTTCGAGTTGGAATTTTTCTTAGCAGAAGTAGTGCCTAACTCCGCAAAATGAAATTTATTAAATTTATTTTATTTATAGAAAATGCAACACTTAGTCCCTTTAACTCTAAGCGGCTCGATTCTCACGCAACAACCTCCTTTGCGCTATTAACATCAATCTCGGTCAAAACGACTAATTCAATCGGAACTTTCGACTCTCGTTCGCGCAACACTAACACGCTCAGTTAACAAAAGCCAAGAAACTCTTGTGAAAAGACGAAAAATAAAATGAAAACACCGTTGCATATTCAGACGAACATCTGCTGGTGGACTAAACCTCGGGGGATTACAGCTGTAGCAAACCGTTTTACATTCTAAACACAATTCCAAAGAAAGCTCCCGGTGTGGTAGTCAGTTTAACAGACTCGTAGTAACGTCAGTTCACGAAGAAATAACCGGTTCTTTTCTCTCTTAACAGAGGGACTTGCCACCGAGCTTGCTGCAAATTTTTCCCGCGTCTGGTCGGGCGCAATTGCGCCGTTGACGAACACGCCAGATTACACCGGTGTCCAAAAGAAATTTAATTACCGTCGACGCGTATTCGTGGGAGTTTCGTGCGCACGCCGAGAGAGTATCACGACCGACGACGACACAGACGCAACTTCGCGGTATCGCTTATGAATGCAACCCCCCTTTCTTTGGATGGAGCAAAGGGACCGCCGTTTTAGCGGTACGTCTAATTTGACACGTGAAATTCACCGTAGAAGTTTCGCGTTTGGCGAGTGTTCGAACGGAACAGGAGACTCGAAGAATCCGGAACTAAAGCTGGAACGGCGTCCTAACTGTTGTTCGGGAATAGTTTCCTGAGGAGTTTACATCGAGAATAATATTATAGGTTGCACAGAGCTGATATTGGGTAATGAGTCATAATTTGGGATGTTCTTTCGAGTTCTTGATTTATCATTTGGAACGTTTCTTGCGCACAATTTTATTGAAAGAGAGGTGCATAGGAATTCTTAGGTTTGCAAGTGTTTGCTAGGAAAATTGCAATCATTTGCTAGGAAACACAGAGCGATGCAAAAGTACAGTAGGGAACGCGGGAAATACAATACAAATTTAATTAACTAAAAATTCCAAAATTACCAATTCACAATCTGTATGTTCATTTTTTTTTTTTTTTTGATCACATCATACGAGGTCCTATTGTAACACACTTGAACTCAGTAAAATAGAAGATTCGCGCGAGTGTTTGTCAGAGCATGCTAGAGTTTCAAGTGTGATCGAGGAATACTTGGACCAGAGAGATAGAAATGTGAACGAAGTATTCAGAGCAGAATATCAGGGGTGCGAAAAAAGAGTGTTTGGGTTAGAGTGCTTGAGATTATAGCGAACGAGCTGGAGGTTCGTCGATACAAGTTTTTATTCCATCGCACAAGTATACTGTTTAATATTTCTAAATCAATCGCACGTGAGTGAATTTGTGCAAAATTATCTTACCTTGACAACTCCGTAACCCTTGGCACGTAACCTGAAGAGACACGGCACCACGACTGCTGGCGAAACGGCAGCCACCACACTTCCGAGCAGAAAACCCCATATCCAGGGTAAACCGAGCAGATACTTCGTCAATGTGGCCACCACAAAAGCCTCGACGAGCCATGGAATTAAACCGAGTTTCGGGACGGTGACTTTCAACCTCTTCAGGGCGTTCGGATCCAGATCCAGACCGGCTCTGGTGAGGATAATGACTAGAGCGATTTTTCTGTAAAAACCAAACAGAAAGATTCGATTGAATTCAACGATACCGTCTGAGAACGATTATTAGAATCAACGTCTCTTGAAAATAAAAAAAGGAAAAATAGATATTGGCATAATTTTGTGCTATCGCTGCTCTGAAATTTAATATCAAACACCGTGAGTTAATTATGCACCAGTTTTAATAATTTTCAGTTAAGAATTTTGCAAAAAAAAAAGGTCTTGCAGAATGTTAAGTGAAATAAGAAATCGTTACTTTTCTATTATGCGTGAGAAAAGTGTCGAGCTGGTTTAATGTAAGACAATTTCCTAAGGGATGGTTCGTCGATTTAATTAAAATTGGGAAATTTTAAGTAAGTAATAACTAGTTACTTATTTTTTTACATCTCGAAGAGGAATATCCTTTCAAAGAGGAGAATATTGAAAGAGTATTCTGTTTCGAAGGAAGGGCTAACTTTCATCTGTGAAAAATTTCAAAATTCCGAAAAAGTGTCACAAAGACATAACTAAGACTTTTATGACACGTTACAGACGTCCACACAAATCAGCAAAAAAAAAAATATGCTCTTGTTATAATCATTTCATCGTCGTGTATCTTTCCTCGACGCTTAAACATCTTAACACTACCCTCAGAACGAACCATGCACAAGTAATTACCACACGGTCTAGATACGTTCCAGAGTGTTTCTCAAGCAAAGGGTTAATCCAACCGAGTATTCACTTTAACTTTATTCGAAAGGTCCGACTTGATCGTGAAGGAAGTCCAAGCAGATCTTCTGTCTCTCAGACAGGTCAGACGCGTTTTCGCTTTGAGGGTGCATCCTCTATGCCTCTGTCTCGAAGCGGAGGACCAGGTTATCGCTCGAGTTTGCGTTTCCCGGTGTAAATTCGACGTGTTCTCTCAAGATTGCCGATGCCTTGCAGGAGCATTCGCTCACCAGACCGAGGCGCAGCTTCTCTCTCTCTCTCTCTCGATCTTCGTCTCTCTTTCTCGCTCTCCCAGCGGGAAACTCGTAATAGGATAAGTTTCGGACAGGCCGACTCCGCGAACCGGTTTCACAAAGTTTCAGGCCATCTTTAACGATCCATGGGACTCAAGTTTTCGTCGAGTACATTCCCTGGCTTTTCCAGATTCGAACAAGCCCGCCGCGTTCCCGCGGCCTCGCTGATTTTCATTTGCATGGCGAGGGAAACGAACGAGTCGGTCTACCCAAGACTCGATTCGTTTCGATTGGATTGATTCGTAGATTTGCTGTTTGGTGTTTTTCATTTTAAACAGGGAATTAACAATGAACGAAAGTTTGTTTATTAGAAATATTAGGAAAATTTCTGGACAATTTGAACTAATCTAAAGAATTTCTTTTTGTGTAAATATTGAAATGATAATAAATAGAAAAATGAAATTAAGTAGGTGAATTATATGGAATTTAATTTAATAAAGGAAAATATTGAGAAAAGTTAGAAAAGTAAACGTTCATTGATAAGTGGACAGAAAATTGATATAGAATATTTCAAAGTGTAGAAGAAAGGAGTTTTCAACGATCCTCGAGAAGACTTTTCATAATGAAAATTGGAGTTGAGGTTTTTTGCAAAATTTGCCAAAGTGCTTTTCTCTGCTATAATAATACAGTAAAGTTAAGATGCTCGAAGCTTTTCTAATTTGCATTCATTTGATCTAGACTTCCCTCGATCAACATGCATGAGAATATTTAAAAACGTTTGACACGTCAAAAAGGGAGTGATATTTTAGGAAAATTTTTCCAACGACTGGAAAATTTGTAGAAAAGTTGAGAAAATTATACGAAAGATAGAAATTTTAGAATTTTCGATAGATTTACAGTGTAAATAATGTTAATTGTATGATAATGAGAATTAAACAGAGCACCAGTTAAAACACCTTAATTGACTCTCTTTTCGCAAGGTTTCTTTTTCCTTTTTTTTTCTAAAAAGGAGTAATGCATAAATTAAAACTTGGACGTTGCGGAAGCCTTAATCAATTCATTGGCTGTTTTGCAATTCAAAGGGTCTACATACAATTTAATACCTCTTCATTGTGAAAATGTGTTTCCGCCTGATGACTTAACTTTATACAGTTAAGTTGAAGTGAAATTCAAGAAATTGTTTATTACGAATTAAAAATCTTCTGTTTCACAATTGTACATAGAAATTTCATTCGACTTTAGAATTCTTTCAAATATTAATAGTAAGATGGTAATGAAAGAATAGAATTTAGGATTGAAATTCTCAATTCTTGGATTAAAAAATCTTTGAATTTTGAAACTTTCAATTTCTCAAATATTAAAACTTTCAATCTTTTGAATCTTCAAATATTTCAATTGCTTTTTCAAATATTAGAAATTCTAAATTTTCGAATATTCGAATTCCTAAATTTGCAAATATTCGAATTCCTAAATGTTCAAATATTGGAAATTCTAAATTTTCAAATATTCGAATTCCTAAATTTTCACAAATTTAAATTTTTCATTTTCAAATATTGGAAATTTCTAAATTTTCAAATATTCCAATTCCTAAAGTTTCCAATATTACAATTTTCAAATTTTCAAAGATTCGAACATCGAAACTTTCGTATCACGAAATTTTCAAATTTTCGAACATTGTCCCATTATCAGTTTTACAGATTACCCTTAAATAAAATTCTTCCAGAGGGAGGGGGAAAGGATTCAGGAGATACATTTAACATTTAATTCGAGATTTCGCCTCGGACAGGACTTTAACCATACTCTGTCCAGTATTTTCAAGCGTTCCAGCAACGAGAAAAACTTTCGCAGCGGCGTTCGATCAGAGCGAATTGAAATTCAACGAGGTTCTTACGCCTTTTTTTTTTCTTTGGCTCGCTTCCCCCTTACAAGCTCGACAGAATTTTCGAACGAAATCTGAATTCTGTCACTTCTTGGCCCTGCCTAAACGCTGACTGAGGAATAATATCTTTTCCACGATAAACTTACAGGAAGTTACACGAACGGAAGTTCAACTTGTACTAGTTCGACAAACTAAAACCATGGTATTGCATAATGACACGTTGAAAGAAAGAAATTCTGCACTGATTGTCACGACCATTATTTTAACCCTAGAAATTATTTTTAATATTTAAGATTTGAATATTTTTAAATTATT